TTTTTTTTCTGAACATAACACCATACAGTAGTCGGAAAGTTTCTTTTTCCGTGAAAATAATTTTACTCTGTAATTACTTCTCTAATGTCAAATTAGCTATTCCCAAAAAAGTGTTGGATGACCATCCTGGGATCGCTACAAGGCTTAACTGAGCTGGCTGGCTTAACTGCGTTGCATGAAAATCAACATCTTATCCGATTTTGTTCTCAAACAAAAGATTATGGATATCGCTATTTCCATTAATGGAACGCCAACGGTAACCACGAGTTATAGGCTCTGCGAGGACTTTTTGTGCTAGTTCAAAAGGTACTTTGCCGATGCCTACCGCACCCGAGAGTATTTTGGCGTTACTGTTAGCGCACTGAATAATTTCGAAGATGGTCCACCACAATATGATGTTAAATTACCGACCCCGTCCTTACAAATAGTTCCGCGATTGAGACGAGTAAGCGCCTGTACTGTACCAGGGGATTGTTAGTCAGATCTGATTCGCAGTAACGAACGTATAATCTATAGCTGTGCTCTATAATTCAAAATGTGAAGCTAGCATGTTTGTGAATATTTTTGGGCAATTCCTAGCAGTTCTGGGGTCTTTGCCATCCGCAGAAGTTAATGAGTACATGCTTTTCCACAGGAAATGATAAAGTCTACGCCGATTGATGCTCCGGATAGGAAATCTCTTGAATTAGCCAAGGAGGCTATGGATGATGTTAATTCTTATGTGAACGAGATGAAGAGGGACAACGAAACGAGACAGCTAATCAGTGAAGTACAGAATAGCATCACCGAACTAACCATGGTTAGTACAATGTTGCAAATTTTGGTAGGTCTAGTACATTGTGAAATGCCTGTGAGGGTCGACTGCATCTCTGCGTATGAATTGTATGTGTGATATTCAAGCCTGAGGACGTCACACTCATGGATTACGGTAGGCTAAACGCCGACGGCGAGGTTCGCTTGTCTGAATCAACTAGCCAGCAATTTGGAAAAATGAAAACTCGTCATGTCTTCATATTCGACAAAGTTCTCATCATCTGCAAGGCTAACAGAGTAGGTCAAGTTTTCAATTGAATGTAGTAGATATGCTTAATTTTTCTTTTGTAGAACAATACATACACATACAAAGCTGCTTATATTGTTTCTGAACTACATCCTAGCCTTGATAATCCGATGCCGGACGGGAAGATGGGGACGATATCTAGGTGAGTGTGGACACTGTGTGGATGATCTAGATATACGAGTTTGCAGAAAAATCGCATCCGCCAACCAGCACCTTCTTTACTTAATTCGAGAAGAACGTGCGTGTACGCAAGAGTCCGTAAGGCACTTGACGCTAGCATTCAAGGTCTTGCAACAACGCGAGAAGTGGCTGCACCATTTCGAACTTGCACGGTAGCTTTTTCCTAAACCTCATATTGACCCATTTCATTGTTAGTTTAAGAAATAATGTCATACCTGAAGAAGTTGGAGGTACCGGTCATAAGGTGCACTACAAAAGCTTCAAAGTGGATATTCCTCATAAGTGCTCCGTTTGTGACAAGTTTCTCAAAGGGTTATTCTTCCAAGGATACAAGTGCGAAAGTGAGGATGTTTACTGACATTGTATTACAGATTTTGTAGCAACCTTTTCTAGATTGTGGTGGTCTTCTACACAAGGCTTGCATTGCCTTGCGTCCATGTGCTGGGCGACGTCACACAACTTCCGTCTCCCACAGTAGTTCTTTCACAAACGGAACCCAGTTCAGGCATAGCTCCTTTGGGTGTAAGTTTTGTGCCTGTTTTTTTTTCATTTCAGCTGCTTTTCAATTTCTGCTGTAGAAGAAATAATAGCGACGCATTTATTTGATTTAGTATCAAGCGGAGACCAAGTTATTGCTTTGACGCGATCGTCTAGTGCTGATCATGGATTCTTGATGTTTGACAAAGATGATATCATAGAAATCATCCATAATCACGGGAACGGCACTTTTACGGTATGTTGTTACAATACTTATGACAAGAGTTTATCGATAGTCGCGGGTAGGTTTCTCTAATCCTTCTGTTTTGCATGAGAGGTTGCACACGCTGTCTGTTTTTTTGTTTGGTTACCTGCTTCGTAGAAAGCATACAGAACATTTTATGACTTGTCTCCCTTGCTTTATAGCCTTGGCGCCATTAGATCCAGGTTGTACATTTTGTCTTGGAATGTGCTAATTTAGGGCTGTCTAGTAAACGACAGGCAATGCGTTGGCCTCGTTCGTAGTGAGCACGTTCGTCGAGTAAGGGTAAGACAGGACTCAAAGAGTATTTACACGAATGTTTAACTACTACTACTGCTTCCAGACTAACTCCGTGCAGGGTATGTGCTCCCCACTGGACAGTCCCGTAGGTGTGCGAGTTGACCGGAAAGAATCTACAGTTCTTCCCAAGAGAATGGGCAATGGGTAAGTTTTATGTAAACATTTTGAGAAATTCTTATCCTCCTGTGATCATACTTTCTGAGTCATCAGTCGTGCGTTCGGATACGCACCAGAATGTGATGACTAATAGCAATGCATCTGTCATTTTGTGATAAATGACAAGAGAAACTAGCGTTTGCTTTGGTTATATGGTGGTAATGTCACTCGCAGACGATGCATTCACCCTGTGTTCTTCTCTGAACTTCCACTGTCTAAAATTTATGCTCTTCCGCAGTATCTAAAAGAGCGCTTAGTGTAAATTGCGTCGGTTTTGTCAAGCTTACATACATCATGAACCTTCTGCCAATTTTTCCATTTCTCATCAACTTTTATTGGCTCTTCTTCGTTGTCCATATGTTTGAATTGACCGTTGCCATCTGTATGTGAGTCCATACTAAAAGTAGGTATCAGGGACTCCTCACATACTGACATGCGAAACAAGTATGCAAAATCTTATATAACGGGACGGGTAGTAAATTCTACTGATCCACGCTTTCTAGAATGACTCCAGCTCCACAGCAAGACTACGTAAACACAGAAGTCAGTTTGCAACCATGGTATATGGGCGATTTGGAAAGAGCTGATTCGGAAGCGAAGCTTAGAGGAACTCCAAATGGAACGTTTCTTGTGCGATATAGTAAGAATCGTCATAGCTACGTCATAAGCATCAGGTCGGTATACAGTGTTTTTGAATATATGAGTTCAAGCTTGGTTTTATAGCTATGAGGGCGAAGTTAAACACACGGTTGTAGAGCAGAGGGATTCGATATT